GCTGTTAAGGTAAGGGTCTTAGGAAGGAATGTTGTCCTGGGTCATCCAGGTGGTCCCCATCCAGCCACATGAGCCCTTAGAAAGGAGAGGCTTTCTTGGGCGTATTCAGAGAGAGGCGTGGAGAAGAGAGCAGGGTAGGGAGAAAGCACTCTGCTGGCTTTGCAGGCGGAGGAAGGGGCCATGAGCCAAGGAGCACAGGAGGTGTCTAGAAGCCGGAAAAGGCCCGGAAATGGACTCTCCTCCAGAGCCTCCAGAAGGGACCCAAACCCGCCAACACCTCGACTTCGGCCCAGGGAAACCCCTCAGACTTCTGACCTCCAGAACTGCAAGGTAATAAATGTGTGCTGTCTGAAGCCCCTGTGTGGTAATCTGTTATGGCAGCAAGAGGAAACACAGTCGGCTTTCTAAGAAACTGACAAGTCCACGGCCGGCAGAGCCAAGACTCCACGGCCAGCTCCTGGCTCCCAGTCCATCGCTTACCCTCCAGAGCTCTGCATTTTTTTTTCTCCCAAAAGGTGGCTACATAGGGTGGTCTGGAGAGCTGCCCTGCCCTGCTTTCCTCGGGGCGTTTAGAGCACACACGCTCTCATCGTCACCCCCCAACAGCCATGCTCATTCATTCATTCTTCAGCAGACGTGTGCCGAGTGCCCACTTGGTGCTCGGGGCTGTCCCGGCCACTGGGGAACAGCCGTGGGGGTCCCACAAGGTCCTGCCCTGCAGCTCTGGCTCATGAAGCCCCCCAGGGACGCTGTCATGCTCCCGAGGTGCTCAGATGCCCCAGGCAGCCCCAAAGGATGAACGGACACCCCAAATGTGGCCTCTCCCACACAGTGGAATACCCCACAGTGGTGAAAAGGAAAGGAGCACAGACACATGCCACAATGAGGATGAACTTTGACAACCCGATGCCCCGTGAAAGCAGCCAGACCCAAAAGGCCACATATTGAACGATTCCATTTTCGTGAAATGTCTAGAAGAGGCAAATCCCTGGAGACAGAAAGGAGAGGCGTGGTTGCCAGGGGCTGGGGACAGGGGGTGGGAGCGACCGGGAAACCGGTGCAGGCGGTACTCGTCCGGGTTCCTCAGAGAAGCAGAACCAGTGGGACCAGTAGGACGAATACAGAAATGCAGAAAGAGAAGTCTCCCATGATTATGGAGGCGGAGAGGTCCCCCCAGTCTGCTGTCCGCACGCTGGCGAGCCGGGAAAACCAGCGCTGTGCTTCCATGGAGAAGGTCGGAAACGGGGAGCACCTGTCCCAGGGCAGGAGAAGGTGGAGGTCTCAGCTCGACAGGGAGTACGCGCCTCCGTCTGCCTTTTTGTTCCCCTCGGGCCCCCACGGGCCAGATGTGCCACTTGTTCTGATGAGGGCATCTTATCTGTTCGGTCTACTGACTCCCATGCTCATCTGCCCCCGAGACACCCTCACGGGCACAACCCAGAGCAAAGCTGTACCTTCTGGGCCTCCTGTGGCCCAGCCACGTTGACGAATCACATTAACCATCACAGGGGTTTTCGTTTGGGGCGCTGAAAACGTTGTGGAACCAGACCCTGCGGACGGCGCACAACCATGTGAATATGTTTAATGCCACTGAATAGTACACTTTAAAATGGCTAAACTTGGGGGGCTCCTGGGGGGCTCAGTCAGTTAAGCGTCCGACTCTTTTTTTTTTTTTTTTTAAAGATTTTACTTATTTATTTGAGAGAGAGAGAATGAGAGAGAGCACATGAGAGGGGGGAGGGCCAGAGGGAGAAGCAGACTCCCTGCCGAGCAGGGAGCCCGATGCGGGACTCAATCCCGGGACTCCAGGATCATGACCTGAGCCGAAGGCAGTCGCTTAACCAACTGAGCCACCCAGGCGCCCAAGCGTCCAACTCTTGATTTCAGCTCCGGTCATAATCTCAGGGTCGAGGGATCAGACCCCGTGTCCCATCCCGCTCTGCGCTCAGCGGGGAGTCGGCTTCTCCCTCTCCCTCTGCCCCTCCCCGCCCACCCCCCACCCCCCGCACACGCGCAGGCGTGCTCTCTCTCAAATAAATAAATGGATCTTCAAAAAATATATAAAATGGCTAAAATGGTAAATTCTATGTTATGTATAGTTACCACAATAAAAGTCAGTGAAGCAATGTGCACCTGTTAGTTCTGTCCTAACTGCATCGAGGGGGCCCTGGAGAGCCTGGGGGTTCAGCAACAGGTGCATACACCTGCGTGTCCGCCACCCTCACGGCTCACCTGCAGGATGGAGCTAGCACCCTTATCGTGGGGGATTGTAGAGAGCATGAGGCCGCCGGCGGAGGGCCAGTGCCCCCGGCCCCCTGTCCTGCCGGGGTCTCCGTAGGGAGGACCCCCAAGCCCACTGACATCCCGCGGCCCACCCACTTCCCATTACTGGATTCTCACTGGTGTTTGTGTATCTTTTTAATGAGGCCCATGCAGGGACGTGTCTTGGGGCACATCCTGACTTCTGTGGGGGAGGTGGAAGACAGCTCGAAATACGTAATGGACCTGGAAGGAGAAGAATTCCAGCGGGGGCGGGGTGGGGGGTGAGTGTCTGTGCACGCGTGTGGCTGCTCAGTGGCGGGGGAGCCCGGGGAGCAGGTCTGGACAATGATCCAGCAAACACAGGACACAGGGTGACTCTGTTCTCCTGGGGCTCAGACTCCCGGGGGACCATTAACAACACATCGAGACAACCTGTATTTCCCAAGGTTCCCAACACTGTGCAGTGTTGGGTATAAAGGCTTCCAGATTTTTGTTCACCGATGTAAACATCGGTGGGGGGGATCAAGGTGTTAGAATGAAGAAACCGCCTTAGTGGCCAGTGGGGGAAAGTCTCAACTCGAGGTAGTCTGCGTCAAACGCCCTCCCTCTGGGCTTTGCCTGTCATGGTGCTTTGTCCCTGCCAGCCTGACCCGGGGCAGACCGTCCCAGTCCCACGGTTCAGGGAAGGGCAGGGTCACCTGAAGCCTGCGGCTGTCCAGACAGGTGCGCCGGACCACCCTGGCCAATTTATCCGTGTGAGCTGATTGCTTTAAATAAAGTCAGCCGTTCCTCCAGCTCATGTAAGGATGGTGGGATCAATCGGGTACACAGAAACAGATTACCAAGCAGGTGGCTTCGGGCTAAAGATAAATTGTGTCCTCACATAACTCAGGAGAGTGGGATGCACATAGCTCCTAATGTGCAAAGCAAGACTGTCTAGTTCCTTACTTCTGCAGGAGAGCCCAGGCTGTGGCGCATGCCTCCTGGAGCCCCCGAAGACCCTCCCCCAGAGGAAAATCGCGGTCAGGGCTACCCTGTGTTCCAATTGTGAGCAGGCCGGTCTCCCTGCTGAGGGAGGGGCAGATGGTGACAGTCTCTGCCTGGCCCCCCTCCCCCGCTGCCCTGCCCCACACGGCAGAGAGCAAAGCAGGCCAGGGATGCACTCTCTGCACAGGGCTTACAGGTTCCCTCCTGCTCCCAGCGGGACTGTTCCTGGGGGCCCGCCCCCCCTTACCTGAGTTGACCTCCCCGGACATCTGACCTGGCAAGTCGGCCCAGACCGTTGGAACTCCTCATGTGTCTGCTATGCTTGGCCTTGTCCCATGTTGTCAGCCCTCCAGGGATCTAGCCTGTCCCTTCCTTTTTTTTTTTTTTTTGTCTTTTTTGGAAGTAATTATAGATTCACAGGAAGTTGCAAAAATAGCACTGAGAAGTCCCGTGCACCTTCACCCGGTTTCCCCCAGGGGTAATGTCTTGCATCAGCACAGCACGGTAAGGGACAGGAGTGGACCTCTGGAAAACCCACAGACCTCACTCAGGGCTCACCAGTGTCGCACGCTGTCGCAGTCGGCTCAGCTGCTCTGACAAAATACCATAGGCTTGGGGCTTCACAGCAGGCATTTATTGCTCATGGTCCTGGAGGCTGGGAAGTCCAAGCTCCAGAGGCTGGGAAGTCCAAGCTCCAGGTGCTGGAAGATTTGGCTCCTGGGGAGGAGCCCCTTCCTAGCTTGCAGATGGCTGCCTTCTCGCTGTGTCCTCACATCGGGGACAGAGATGATCTCTGTGGGGTCTCTTTCTTAAGGGCCCTGATCCCACCCTCGTGACTCATCACCTCCCAAAGCCCGCCCCCCCCCCCCCCCCGCCAAGGCCATCAGCTTGGGGATTAGGGCTCCAGCTGATGAGCCTGGAGTGGACAGACAGTCCACGGCACATGCATTCGCTGTGTTTACCCAGTTCCATGGGACCACATCGCATGGGCAGATCCTTACAACCACCACCACAGTCATGACCCAGAACATCCATCACCGTGAGGACCCCTGCCACTGCCTCTGTCAATCTGTCCCCTCATTTTGCCATTGGAGATGTCATGTGTAACTTCCGAGGTCGGCTTTTCTCGCTCGGCATAATGCCCTTGAGATGCACCCATACTGTGGCCGGGGTCCACAGTTTGTCCCTTTAGACTGTGGGCAGTGTCCCCGGCCCGGATGGACCACAGTCTGTTTTACCATCTACCCGAAGGGCATGTGGGGTCCGGTTTGGGGTTACCACAAAACAGCTGCTATGAACGCCGCACACGGGTTTGTGTGAACGGAAGTCCTCGTGTCTGTGGGGTAAATGCCCAGGAGCACAATCACAGGTAAGCGTCCTAGGTAAGCGTAGTTTAGCTTTTGAAGAAATGGCCAAACTTTTCCAGAGTGGCGTTTTACCCTCCCAGCTCACAGGGGAGGAATTCCATCTCTCTGCATCTCGCCTCCTCTCCTCCCACGCTTCACGTCCCTGGGCTCCCGTGTGGGGAGCAGCAAAGCCGGCCACCCTGTCCCCCGGGGGGCACACCCTGAGCCTCTCTGCTCCTGGCTCCGCACGTCCAGTGGGGCGGCCCCCTTGAGTCTGCCCTGTGTCTCTCCACCCTCTGCTGCACCCCTCAGCCTCTTCCCATGCCTCTGCCCCCCACCCTCTGACCCCCGCCCTCTGACCAGCACCCCACACTGCAGCAGGAGGGGCACCCCCATCAGCCGCTCGTGGTGCCTTTCCAGCCTCACCTGGTCGGGTCCCCCCATTCTTGGAGACCCATCACCCTCCTCCGCCTCAGCACATCCTTGCGCGCTCATCTTTGGGTCTTTGCCCTTTCTTTTCCTTGCCTTGGCATGCTCTTCCACCCTTTTTACTGGTCAAGTCTCACCCAGTTTCTAGGTCTTCACTTAAGCACAGTATTTTCTGAAGAGCTTTTCCTGACCTTTCTGCTGTGTGCCCCCGTCTTGCCCCAGGAGACCCTACATCCCCATGGATAACTGCTGTGCACAGCAGGGGGGATGACCTTCTCAGCCCAAGGCTGGCAGCCCTGCAAGGGCCTGGCACGGGGCATCAGGGCACTGTCCTTCGCTGTCGTGTCAGTCTTCCCGGGGGCTGGCTTCCACAGGCATCTGGGTCCTCCCTTTGGGGAGAAGGCCGGGCTTGGCCAAGATCAGAAGGAGGTCGGGAGGATGCTGCTGGAACAGCCTGGTTGGGGGGGCGGCGTGACCCTGGACACCTGGCTCTCCTCTGCTCTGTGGCCCCGGGCTTGGGGGCAGGGCCAGCCATGCGATTCATGGGGGCCTGGTAGGAATTTTTCCGGCGGCGACAACATGCGGCCCCTCTGAGCGTGGGGACCCTCCAGGAGGCCCAGTTCTAGGTTTGCCTCCCTGCCTAGAGAGGCAGCGGCCAGCTTCTTGAAGTGGCCTCCCCTTTACTGTTTTATCAACTCACATACCACCTGACATTCTTTGCCCAGAACAACCTCCTCTTGCTGGCCTGAGGCTGTGGAGCATGCTGAGCAGCGAGACCACGTAGATCCTTCTGTGGATTTCCACTCGGGGGAACTCTCACCAGCTCAGTGCCTCAGCTTTCTCATCTGTGGAGGGGGTACTGGACCCATCAGAGGCCGCTCTGGGCCCTGGAACAGCCCAGTGTGTCCCCCAGTGTTGCCCTGGCCCAGTTCTGAGGCAAGCCCTCGCAGGGGGCCCCGCAGAGCCCACCCCAAGCCTGGACCGCCTGGACACTGTCCTCATGTCCTCCTGGCCCTCCCATCGAACTCTGTTTTTCTTTCTTCACATGGTGTTTTTAACAAGGATCCCACATACTTGGGCCAAACCCGGCTGTTACCCTGGAGGCCACCAATAAATTTCGTAGGCAAATAAAATTGACTGAAAATTAGCATAAGAAGCCTTAAATTAACAGGATGTAATTTTATGAGTATCTCACAAACTAGTCAAAGATGTATGTCAGCCTGGGGTGAGTCAACTCCTTCAAGTGTCTTTCATTATATAACGCTACTAATTTTTCTCAAATGTAAGCAATGTGTTTTCTTCCTAAACATTGTGTCCTTTGTTCTGCAATTTGGAAAAATAAATTTCCTTTAAAGCCCTGCTTTGCTCAACCACAAAACAAGGCAGAGAGGCGGGAGCAGAGGTGCCCCAGCCCCCCACCCTGGTCTAGGAAGGCCCCGCCGTGTGCGCGTGGGAGGCTCTTGCTCAGAGCAGAGGAGACTCCAAGTTCAGGGCCACTAAGGCTGGGAGCCAGGAAGCCTCTGACCAGAGGCTGCAAGTGAGACAGAGACACAGACTCCTGTGGCCAATGGGCGTTAGCTGGAGAGAGGCTGACCTTCACCTTCTCCGTGGAGGCCAGGCTGCATCGCCCCAGGGGCTTCGCGGTGGCTCACGGCAGCGAAATTCGACCTTTGCTGAGCACATGCCCTGTGCCCTGTAGGGGCACATGGACAGGGGCACCCTGGCTCACCCCCAGGATCTCATAGCGTGCCCAGGGCTGGTGAGGTGACCGGGGCCCCTTGGAGCCCATGGAAGAGGCTCACCACCACCCAAGGGCTGAGAAGGCTGCGGGCAGGGGTTGGGGGTGGGGCGCATTTTGCAGGAAGCGCTGAAAACTGAGCCAGCGTGAGCAGGGAGCTGGGGAAGCCATCGCAGAGGGGAGAGGAGACAGAGGGCCTTTAGGGCTTGACAGCACAGGGCTAGGAGGACATGATTCCGGGGAAGTCCAGAGCCCACTACGAGGCCCACCCCACAAGCAGTAGGTTCTGGAGAAACAGAGCAGGCGGCGGTTCAAACCTCTGCTCACCCTGATGGCCCCATGTGTCAGGAAGACACGCCCTGGCAAAGCCAGGCTGCGGCTGTCACAAGTGCCAGGGTACTGAGCGACACTTGGAAGAGCAAGCTGGGAGGTCTGACTCAGTTCTGGAGTCTCCTGTTTGGACTCTGGAGTCCTCAGCGTTCAGGTGGTGGTGGTGGTGAGACCAGGTGAGACAGGCGGGGGCTGCAGAGAGGAGGGAGGAGCCAGCCCAGAGCCTGAGGGAGTCAACCTTCAGAGCCAGGTGGAGGGAGCGGGCGCAAGGGAGGCAGTAGAGGGGGACTGGGGGCTTCACGCCTGGAAGATGAGAGCGGCTGAGAGATCACAGAAAAATATGTCCATTGGTCTCTGCCCCTGGTTCCTGGCCCAGGGCTCCGAAAACCCTTGGAATTTCCTAAGTGGTAAGAGCACTAGGAGCATCTCGTATTCCAGTATTTGGTCATCTGCCCCCAGTTCTGACACTGAGTTCCTAAATCCTAAATATGTGTCCCATGAATCCCATGTAGGAAGGCTTGGAAAACACAGATGCGGGTCACTTTGGGGGTGCAGTAGGCTCCCCAGGGGTCAAAGCCTGGCTCCATTCAGACTCAAGAAAGATCATGTCACCAAAGAGAGCGTGGTCATCGGGGGAGGTCCCAGAGGTGGCAGGTGGGAGGGGCAGGCTGGCAACGAATGCACAGGGGGTGAGGTCGACATGAAAGTCTCCAGGTGACCCCCAGCCTGCAGGCGGAGCTGGATGTTATGCAATGGCCCATCGAGTTATCTCTGTAAAGAGTTGTCCTGTCCGGCTTGCCACCTTGTTCTGATTCCACGCCAACTTGACACTTGGTCCTGACTTGCCTTCCATGGACATCAGCTGCAGAAAGAGAATGCACCAGTCATGCCCGCACAGGTCTGGGCCACGGGACAGGCGGTGCTTCTCACTGAGCATTGGCCCCTTGGCACTGGGTTTGGTGAACTTGGCTCCAGAGACTGGATACAGGAAATGCCCTAAGGCAAGGAGAGACAATCCATAAGCCTCCAAGCTCACCAGGGGCCAGAGAACACGTTCCCAGGCTTTTACTGACAGCCCACACCATTACTTCCTGCGCCCTAACCCCCCCGACCTCCCCTGCCGCGTTCCTATTTTGCAACGCCCGGCTACAGCTCCAATCACGTGCAGCTTTCTCTGCCGAGGGGACACAACAAAGATGGGTGACACGTGCCTGGGAACATCCAGCATCGAGCATGTCAACCACCAGCAAATGGTCATCCGGGTGCAGAGCGGGGACAGGCTGCCTCCAGGAGAAAAGAGCTCTCCACGTACTTGGACCTGCAGTTAGGAGATGGGGACAGCTACCAGAGGAGATCACAGAAGTCGGTGTGGGGGAGGTGATGGGGAGAGATGAAATGTGTCCCCCAAAGGCCACTGGCTGATTGGAGGGTGCAGAACTGTCGGAGGTGCTGAGGAGGGGCTGTGTCCGTCTGCGGGGGCTGCCGAGACAGAGCACCACGGGCCGGGGGCTGCAAGGCTGAGGTCAAGGTGCCTGCAGGGCTGGTCTCTCCCAGGCCTCCCTCCCTGGCTTGTAGACACTGCCTTCTCCTCTCCTTGTCCTAATCTCTCCTTCTTACGAGGACACCAGTCATACTGGATTAGGACCCCCCGGAATGAGCTCATTTTAACTTATAACCTCTTTAAAGACTGTCTCTGAATATTCTATGTCCCGCGGGTTAGGACATAGGAATTTGAGGAGGGGGGTAGGGGATACAATTGAGCCATAACAGAGGATAAAAGTTGTAGCTAACGAATTTGAAAATGAAGAAGAAAGTTTAAACCCCCCCCCAGTTCCTTTGGTTTGTGGGGGCTGGAGGTGGTGGGTGAGCCCCGACAAGGGTTAACCGACCTGGCCGGTTAATCAGCGTAAGCTTTCAGCAAGGCTTGATGAGTGATAAATGGGCACATACTTCATATCAAGTGCACTAATAATCTTCCCTGAAATCAGCCAAGTATACATCACGATGATGCTGATTTTCCAGGAAAATTAAATAATTGCAGCCTAGGTGGGTGGACCTTAGTCACCACCTCATTTTCCTACCCTTGGTGCCATCCTCAAGGGCCCTCACTCAGCTCCTCGCCTCCAGCCCCTGGTTATGGACACTCGAGAAACCTCTTGTTCATGTCCAGGCCCGGCAGGACTCGGGCAGCTCCTTCCTGAGGGCTGGTGGGCGGCTGTCACAATTCCACATTCTCTGGACAGGAGCCTTCTGAATGTCTGTAATAATGGCCCCTCCCGCAAGAGCATGGGGGAGTTAGAAAGGTGGCCAGAACCTTCTCTAGTCTCCAACCCCGGTGAAGTCACAACTTTCAGGATTACAGAGAAGAGGGAAACTGGGGCTGGGGCCCCAACAGCGGTCCTGTATCACTCAGGTTGAGCTCCAGAAACAAGCACCCTCCGCACTTCGGTGGCTTCCCAGCACACATTTGTTTATCTACTTATTTATTTTTTGAGAGAGAGAGCGCGCATGCACAAGTTGTGGGGAGGGAGGGGGTAGGGAAAGGGAGAGAAAAACCCAGGCAGGCTCCACACTCAGTGCAGAGTCCAACGTGGAGCTTGATGCCATGACCCTGAGATCATGACCTGAGCTGAAACCAACGGAGCCACCTGGGCACCCCCACCCCGGACCACACGTTTATGTGGCACTCCCTCCACACAGCCCATCTTTGGTGGCCTTGCTGTCTCCAAGTTGCCTTGTTCTAGGACCCTGGCTATCGGTATAGCCTCCTCCCAGACATTGCTGGCTTTGGGGTCATGGAGGAACACGCACCCGTTCTTAAATCTGCTCCCTGAAAGGGACGTACAACACACCCACCTGCCTTTCATTGGCCGAGTCAAGTCAATGTGGCCGCCCTGGTGTGAACTGGGTGGAGAGCACTATCCTCCAGCAGAGGGACAGCAAACAGAACGATGTAAGAACCTGCCACAGGTTCCACGCGTGCCTGACCCACCTTCCTCCACCCCCGGAGAGGTCCCTCCCTGCGGGAAGGCACAGGACGGGTCCCAGCATAGCAGAGCGCCCAAGGCGGGAAAGAGATGGCTTTCTGGGGGTGTCATCAAGACCTTTGCAGTTGGGAGCATCCTTGGAAACCAGCCTCCGCATCTCACTTATGTATTTTTAAACTTGCATCTTAGGTTCAGACAGTTGAGTTCATCGTACTCCTGACTGCACGGCACACGGCTCCATTTCCTGCCATTAGTCTTCATCTCGTCCCCAGTCTGCAAGCCTGGTTCCCCCTCGCCCCCGACCCCAGGTGCTCACTGGAATGTTTCACATCCGTCCTTGAATCCTTGTTTAACTAGAAAACATGTAACTTTCGGGTGTTTTAAGGATTGTTTCAGTTGTAAGTACATTTTGTTGAACTATAAAGCTCCTGTTTCTTACTTTTTTCATTCAACAATATGCCTTAAAAATCTGTCTGTGCTGCTTGTTGCTGAGTACACCACTAACTCGGTGGTTCTCACAGCTATGGAATCCCACTTTATGCATCTTCGTCTGCTCTCTCTGTCCCCAGTGATGGACACAGGCTGTCTCCTCCCTCACACGGCCGCAGCACAAGCCCCTCTACATGGCCTCTGGTCCCTGGCCCCATGCATGTACCCAGAAGGGGGACCGGTGAGCTCTGAGCCACACAAGGGCAGCACCAAGCGAGGTGCAGGACCCGCCCCCCACCCCCCACGGCTGCCTGCCCCCCACTCCCACAGCTGTGCCTAGTGAGGGACCCATTTCCTCACATCTCTGTCAACATCTGCATTACCCAACCAATCTTTTCACAAAGTTGACGTCTTAGTATTCTTTTTGCATTTCCCCCCAAATTCCCAGGGACATTGAATATCCCTTCATACGCTTGTTAGCGTTTCAGGCTTTTCCTTCTTGGAATTGTCCATCGTTTTCTGCCGGTCACCCGTTTTTTTCTTACTGGCTTTGTCAGAGTCCCTTGTATGTTGTAGATAGTAATCTCTGCTCAATTCCAATGTTCTAAGTATCACATTGCAATGTGCCATCCCCTTCTGTTACCCCTGAGTCTACCTCTCGTTGACCAACATCTCCAATTCTGATGCAGTTCTAACCACGAGCAACTCACCCAGCGGTTGTGCTTTGTAAAGGACTTCATTTCAGAAGTCCTGCCCCCATCTGTATTAATTTTACAGTTTTATTCCTTACACCCATATAAATTTATATTTTACATCTATTACATATGTTTATATTTAGCCAGTCTAGACTCACTGTGTGTGGCATGAGGTGCTAGGAAATCAATCTAGTGTTTTCCTCTATATAGTGAGTCAATTTTCCCTACACTGAAAATTAATAATTTATCCTCTCCCCTCTGGTTTGTGATCCCACCTCCATCAAATACTATGTTTCTGCATGTCTCTTCTTTCTCCAAACTGACTTAGCAACTGGTGGACATTATGGCTTATGTATATTTAGAAGGAGTGACAATTTTAAGCCTCCATTCAAGTGACCTATCTTTCCATTTTCTTCACGTTTCCCTTCATGTCTATTTGGATGAAATGTTTGCCCCTTGCCAACATTCATACGTTCATTCATACGTTGAAGCCCTAATCCCCAGTGTGATGGTGTTTGGGGGGTGGTGCTTTCTGGAGGTGAGGAGGGTGAGGACCAGCGCGAAGGCAGCCATCTGCAGGTCAGGAGGGGCACCCTCACCAGAACCCGAGAGTGTGGACTTCCAGCCCCCAGAGCATTGGGAGATCCGTCCACCTCCGGCCCATCGTGGTTTATGGCCGCAGCCTGGGCAGACGAACACAGCCCTTCAAATGCTCTCAAATCTCTCTCTTGACTTGTTCATGTCTTCTTCATGTCCTTTACATTTCTTTCTTTCTTTTTTTTTTTTTAAGATTTTATTCATTTATTTGAGAGAGAGCATGAGCAGAAGGAGGGGCAGAGGGAGAGGGAGAAGCAGACTCCCCGCTGAGCAGGGAGCCCGATGTGGGGCTCGATCCCAGGCCCCCCGGATCATGACCTGAGCTGAAGGCAGACGTTTAACCGACTGAGCCACCCAGGCGCCCCTTTGTCCTTTACATTTCCTAAATTTTAATGTCCCCCCACCAAGGTTTCCTGCATTTATTTCTGCCTTAATATTTAGATACTTCATAGTTTTTTTGTTCCTCTTGTGAATGTATCTCTTTTTCTATTATATTTCTAATTAGTTAATACTGGTGTAGAAAGCCACTAATTTTAGTAAGTTGATCTTGTGTTCAGCAATCTCGCTAAACTCTATTATTAGTTCCAACCAATTTTCTGTTCACTCTGGTGGGTTTCAGCAGATGATAGGTGCTCTGTACAGACTGACAGCTGTGTCTCTTCCCCAAGGATTCTTCTGTGTCCTCCTGTCACAGCACAAGCCAGAGCCTCCAGGTTTCTTCCCAATAGTAACAGAAAAAAATATAGAGTTTACCTACAGAGAATCAGGTTTCCTGTACACTTTTAATGTACGAAACCTCAATCACATTAAGAATGTCTGTTTCTATTCAGTTTCCTGAGAATTTTTAAAACTCACAAGAAGATGAACTTCATCAGATGATCTGCTGTGTCTATCGAGAGCCATTTTGTTCCTTTAGTCCAATGATACGGTCATAAATAACACTGACAGGATTTCTGGTGTTAACTTGTTCTTGCACTTCTAGAATAAACTCAGCTACGTCACTTTTCAAAATGCACTGCGGGGTTAATTAGCTTGCAGCTTATTTGGAATCGTGCCTCTATTTTTATAAGTGAAGTAGACCCAGTTTTTTCCTCTATTGGCCATATCTGAACTTGGAATAAATGTTATTTTTGCCTCATAAAATGAGTTGGGCAGATTTCCCTTTTTTTTTTTTCTTCTATTTTCTTGTTTCTGGAATGAGTTCTCTAAGAATGTTTATCTGATCATAAACTGTTTCACAGAACTTCACATAAAGCTATCTGTGCTTGAGGGTTTCTTGAGGGGAATG